TTGGCCATGAATCTAGCTTTATACTTGTCTATCTCTCCATTGGCCTTGTGTTTTTATTTTGTACACCCACTTGGAGCTTATGGCTTTCTTCCCAACTGGTAGTGTCACGAGCTCCCAAAGTCTTGTTGACTTCCAATGCATACATCTTTTGTTGCATTGCTTGGATCCAATCAATTAGGATCTGTAGAAGCTTCCTTGAAGGATTCAGGCTCAATTGGTACAAAAAAAGAACTCAAGTAAGCCTGGTAGCTTAGACTGAGATGAGAATATGTGACATATTGTGAGATAAGATATGTGCAATGTGCTCTTGGCTTGATAGTAGTGACATAGTCACTGAGCCATATTAGTGGTCTGGCCACTCTACTTGGTCTGGTACTGGTGGACTCTTGTATATGAGTGTCTTGGTTTGCTTTTACTTCTTGTTCATGTTGTTGAATGGCGTTGTGATCAGGTTGAGAGAGTGCACTTTGATCAGATGAATTAGCTGGAAGATTATCATCTGATTGTAATTGATCTGCCTGGTCTCCTGTGTCTAGTGTTGCATTATAAGGCTCATGTGAAGCAGGAGTTGAGTTATTTCTGTCCAGTTTTGGACTTGGAGGTATAGCAGGTGTGCCATCTATATGTGTTAAGTCTTGTGCAACAAGTGTCTTAATAGTAGGAGTTTCTACATATGTTGAGTCTATCTTTCCATATACTGGTTTTCTGAATAAAAAAATGTCTCGTGCTTCCTCCTGTCCTGCAGTTCTGAAAGAAAATATAGACTCCCTAAACTGCACATCCCTACTGACAAACATTTGGTGATCATCCAGGTCATAAAGCTCGTATCCCTTTTGTGTTTCAACATATCCCACAAACATTGTCTTCCTTGCTCTAGCTGCAAATTTATCACCTTTAGGCAGTCTACTTGAATAGCGGAGACAGCCAAATACTCTAAGGTGATCCAATTTTGTTGTTCTTCCGTACAATAATTCAAATGGTGTTTTGCCTTACAACACTGTAGATGGTAGTTTGTTGATCAAATAGACAGTTGTTCTGAAACAGTCTTCCCAAAAACTTGGCTTGAATTGAACTTTGAAAACTCAATGCTCTAGCCACCTTTAATATATGTATGTGTACGAGCAGCTACTTTGATTTATAATACGATTACAAGCTAACAATTCATTGCATTTGGCGTTAAAAAACTTTGTGTCGGTGTCAGGTCTCAAGATCTTAACATTCCTGCCAAACTGATTTTTTATTAATGCAAGAAAGTTTTTCAACACCACAAACACTTCACACTTAGATTGAATCAAACAAATCTATGTAAATCTACTATTATCATCTACAATGGTAACAAAGTAGTACTTCTTATCATATGTAGCTTTCATATATGGTCCCGGACATTAAGATGTATCAATTGAAAAGGATTGTTAGTTCTACTACTACTATTAGGAAACTTCAGTCTGCTTTGTTTTGCTAGAGGGCATATCTCACAACACTCTTGAATGTTGGTTTCAACTTTATTCTTAAGACTTGCAACATTTGCATAGCTCCAATTGAAGGGCGTCCTAGTCTTAAGTGTCATAGCTTTCCACTGTTTTCCTTTCCTCCTTATAAACAGCTGCTCCTACTGCAGGTTTCATTACCTCCTGTAGTACGTACAATCATTCCCTCTCCTTACCAATCCCCAGAACTTTCCCATTGACGAGTCCCTAAAACACACAGAAATCATGGAAAAACAAAGCTACACAGGAAAGCTGCTTGGTTATTTTTGATACTGAGAGAAAGTTGGACTTGAAATCCGGAACATGTAAAACATTTTCAAGTTCATATTTTCCTAGGATCACTACATTCCCTACATTTGTAATTTTTGCTCTACCACCAGTTGGTATTTGCACCTTGCTGTTTATTTTGATCTCTCAGTGATCTAAAAGCAGTCAATAATTCTCCATATGATGTAATATGATGTGATGCCCCCGAGTCAATTATCCATTAAGAAGTAAAGGTGTTGGATAACTGTAAGATCATATATGCCATATTACCTGTTATGCTGCCCACACATTCACTTGAGGCTGGCTTGTCTAAAATGCTCAAAATCTGTTTGTACTACTGCTCTGTAAAGAAATGACCATGTCCTTGCCCCACAGACATATTTCCTCAATCTCCTGCCATTGTAAAGTTAGCAAAGGTCATAAATCCACCTATCTGTGCACTCTTCTTCTTACTTTTGAAATCCTGTGGATATCCAACTATCTTGCAACAACTTTCTTTCAATTGTCTCTTATATCCAAAATGCTCACAAACCATCCCATGCTTCTTAGGCTTAAAACCTTGGTATGCCTTCTCTGCTAGCATTGTCAAAGGGTCTCTATTCACATCGACTGCACCTCGACTGCACCCAGACATCTCTGACTTTCCTCTTGAGTCATAGTAGCATAGGCTTCATTAACAGACACCACAGGCCTCCTTGCCAACAAATTGCTTCTTATGTTACTATAAGTCTCATTAAGTCCCATATAAATTGCAGTAAACGCTGTGATCTTTAGTGTACAAATTAGGGCAAAGATTCTTCAAAGTCACACGAAGGCAAAGGAGCCAAAACATCTAGTTCATACCAAAACACCTTCATCTTAGAATAATAAGTAGTAATTGAATCAGTACCTTGTCTCAAAGTTGCAATCTCAGTCCAGAGATGATAAATCTTCATCAGATTCAATCTATCATATCTCTCTTGGAAATCACTCCAGACTTTCTTAGTGTTGGATGCATAGACGATGTTTGGCATCAATTCACTCGAAATTGTGCTGCCTATCCACGATAAAACAAACGCGTTTCATTTCTCCCACTACTCAGCTAGTTCTCCCATGTACATGCTTTTGATGAATGTTTCATCCACAAATCCAAGCTTGCTTTTGCCTCTGAGTGCCAATTTCATCGTTCTACTCCATAGTGCATAATTATTAAGACATGTGAGTTTTAGAGGAATTAAAACCAGTCCAAGTGCATCTCCAGCTTGAAGATATAATGGATGATTATGATCTAATGATGTGACTTCATTCCCTGCCATGGATGTGAAAAATTGAGCAAGCTTTACGCTCTTCAGTAGCTGCTGGAATCTCGCCGGAAAATCAGTCGCCCTTGGAGACTTGCTCTAATACCATGTCAAATTGACTACTGTAATTAGGGATTTGAATCAATTTGAGGAGAGAATGTAGAGACGAGATGGAAGAAATTATGTTAGCTTTATTTAGAATGAGTACATGTACAAGCTTATATAGTCGATGTCCTCTTCTCTATCACGTGTTTCTCACGTGACTTTTAACTAACTTCATCAACAACTATTAACAGCTCATTAACACTAATTGCTTCTAACAACTAGCTAACAATTATGCGATGCACTTTTAGCTGCATTCCTCTGCTTCTCTCATATACATTCCAATAATATTACAGAGATCCATTGGTAGAATGACATGAAAAAGAACATTGTCGAGTTTGTAGCTTACTACGCCAATTGTCAGCAAGTAAATAGAACATCAGAAGCAGGTGGGCTAGCGCAAAATATAGAGATCCTCATGTGGAAATGGGAGAGGATTAATATGGATTTCATCACAGAGTTGCCTCGTTCATATCGTAAGTTTTATTCTATTTGGGTGATCGTTGATTCATAGCTGAATTTTATTGACATTCCAGGGTTTCCTTCTTTTTTCTCGATATGAATTGAATAATTCTTATCCTTCTCCCTTTTCGTATTTTGTAACATTCTAACATGGTGTATTTTCGAGCACAAAAGAGCAATACTAGAGTAATGTATCAAATATATTAAGCGAGCCAACAATTCAAGAGTTTTAATGTTCTCGTGCTATATTCAATATGTTGAGACTCGATAATGTCAATAGCTTAACTTTTTGGATAATTTTTCTGAAAAAATGAATAGGTAGGGAAACAAGAAATAAAAACAACAAATTAAAATAAAAAGATGAGAAAAAGGTATAGTTTCACCTACAAAAATTATTAAGAAAAAAGATCAACTATATGTGAAACTCAATAATACCACAATGATAAAAAAATAAATTAGAGAAAACTAAAGTTATTTGATTAATTATAAGATTGATTAAAACTTGAAATCTCATATATTTTGATTTGATGACTATTTTAATAATTGAAAATTTGAAAAATTAAGTTTGTAATAGCCGCGCGAAGCGTGGAAAAATTTGCTAATTTACCCTATTTATGTGCCATCTTGAGGCGTTTGTAGTTTTCAAGAATGATTATTACACTGGGTAAAACGGACAAAATATTGTTTTGAATTTTAAAATAATAAATTTGTGACAACTATTTTTAGAAATCACGAACAAATAATGTAAGAAGCAAGGAGTATAAAAGCAGTACTTTAAGTCTTTAATACATCTCACTATATTCTTATTTCATTTTGGCTAATGAATGTGTCTCATAAAATTCATCTTCCATTTGTTTAATTAATTGTTGTTTCCTCGTTTGCAAACTAATCGCATAAAAAAGGCAAGTTCAAAGAAAATAACTAAAAAGTCTTCCATCCGTCTCAAATTATTTAGCAACGATTTGGCCATGTGTTCATACATCGCGAAATAATATATTCAAAAATTTGAATTCTCTCGTCCTTTACTAATACATTCCCACCTTGCTGGTCAGGTTCACCTTGTTTCTCATCCATTGAAATTAGCACCATTCATATAAGTGCTTTTGTCTCGATTCAACTTTAAATTTACTTTTTTACCCTTAATGAAATAATTTGTGGCCACGCAAATTTTTAGGGCTTGTTTTAGACCACAAATTTTAAAAATCTCCTTCACTTCTTAAACTTCGTACTTACGTTAAATCCAAGTCACCTCCTTCGAATCCATAGGGACACCCTTTGATTCGTAGAGTGTATAAAATATCTTTGGTGCTTGTTACACTCAATTCTTAACCCCCTTGAGGATTGGAGAGTATAATTACACTCAATTCCACTACTAACATGGTAATTATCTGGCCAACAAACATGTCAAACAGTATAATTACATACAATTTCAATTCAGTTCAATTACATCCAATTTCAATTCCGACAGGCTCACAAATTTATGTGCAACTTGTATTTAGACACAAAATAAATTAAATACTACTAGTACTTTCCATATGGTTGGTCGGAGGCCCTCTATTAAGCTCCCTGAATCAGAAATTCTTGCTAAACCAATTCACAAATCTTCAAAAATTATGATGGGCTTTTGTCAATGCCGCTTTGTAATGGGTACGTGCCATTTCTGCTCGTTCTCTTTCTCGTGTTCTATTCCTCTGTGTTCTTGCTTCTTGGTTCTTCCACAAGCTTATGATTTCAAAGGGGTCCAAGTATTGCTTTTTCTTGGTTGGTTTAGGTTAATTTCGGAACATAAGTGTCTTTGGATGTTGGGTCATCTTGTTCTTTTGTTCCAAGTCATTTTGGTTCTGGGATTTGGCGATTTTGCTAGTTGTGCGTTGTAGGTTTACACTAGGTATGTTATGGTGTTGTAGTGTGTTATGTTTCTCTTCTTTATCTCTTGTATGTGTTTTGTGAGATGTTTACAATTTTTTAGGAGTTTGTTGCAATTCATGGTTTATGGTAGGGTTATTCAAACACCGAATCGTAATCGTTAACTAAACCGAAAAAACGGCTTATTGGCTTACTGGTATCGGTTTATCGGGATAACGGTTGGTGAACAGATTAAGATTTTATAATTAACGGCTTAACGGTTTGGGGCGGATTACTCAATTTCCTTATCGGATAAATCGTAAACCCGTTAAAAAAATTTATATTTATACTTTTACCCCTATATATATAAAGTAATTTTTGAAACACTAAGGTACTCTTGGAAACTTCAAAGTACTCTTTTGTGGAATTCCCAACTATTGTTTACCCTTTCTTTTGCAGTGAAAACATGTTATGTTTACGGTATACTGAAAAACATGTACTCAAATGTTGTATGTTAAGAAGTTACGTGCATCTCTTTCTTTATTCGAGTTTAGAATTCTCCTCACGCTTTTCCCATCACGATTTTCTCTTCGAGAACACTCGCCTCGTCGATTCTTCCCCTCGTTCTTTTTATCTTGGACATTGAGATGTTCATGCAAAGCATAGCCTTTATTTATATTCTTTCTATTTTTGAATTACCAATGAAGAATCTTTCTAAAAAAATCTCTCTGGCAAAACGCAATTCGTCGAGTTCAATTCAAGGTGCACCTTGCTTTTTTTCAGGTAGCTTTTTCTTACGCCTATTTAGCTAGTGGGCATTGGTCAAAGCCGAAATTCGTCGAAGGGATAAAACAGCGGCTCGAATACCTTTATGATATAGGCTGTGTTAAGCATGCTCTTTGTCAGAAAACAAACTCTTTTTCCATGACAACAATCGCGACTATAAAGGGCGGGGCGAGGTTTGGAGTTACGCTTGCTTTCCTCAGTCAGACTTACGGGATGAGGAAGGGATATTGAAATTGCGGAGCTTTCCTAACATGGCCGAAGCAAATGCTTAGATGAGAAGAAGTCAGAGCAAAAGTCAAAACAAGAACAGAATCGCCTTTGTTCTAAAGGCCTAGCGAGTTCNCTTTTTTTTTTTTCAAAGGCGGTCCTTTTCTTTCCTCGGACCGATGACTCGCTTGTTCAGTACTGCTAACTATTATAGGAGGATGTCGCCCCCTCGGGACTACCAGTAGCTTCAGTTGTTGAATCTCGTGCAAGTTAGGTTGTGGTTGTATTGGCTGCAAACGGAACGTAGGCGCTTTAGGTGTGTGTTGACCATGCACTCTTGTTGGTATACATATTCTTTGATTGTATGGTAGTCCTAAAGAGTAAGGGATAAAAGGCACTTTCTTATAGTGCTTTTTAATATAGCAGATTAACAACTTAAAGGAAAATATTTTTAGCTATGCAACCAAAAGAACTAGGGTTCAAAAATATTCTTTTTATTTAACCGATAAACCATCCGATAACCGTTAATTCGATACCAATCCGCCTGTAGTCTTATTGGATGGCTAGTGAATTACTATATTTATAAACCGATAACCGATAAGCCGAACTATTAAGCGTAATAATCCACCCAATCTGCCCGATAAGTACCCCTAGTTTATGGTTCCCACGAGCCCCACTAGAGCAGACCCACACAAGCACAGGACACAAACACCTTTTTGGGGCTTGGCTTAGTACTTCTTAACTGGTGTACTCCCGTGCAAAAGTCCTCTTACAAATATAAAAACTACACTTATTTTGTGGTTCATTTTTATCCTCAGTGATAGCTTTGCCTACAAAATTAAATATATGAGCAAAGTTAACAAAAACAAGAAAGCTATTGAAAACCAAGATAATAAGTATGTCCTTTGAACATTATGCATACTTACTATGAAAATAAAACATTGATACATTTCAATGTATATTCGAGGGCATCCTAAGTTGCTTGTGATTAGATAGACGTATGAACTCGCATTTATGTTAAAAAAAAGTTTTTTGAGGCATCTCTAATAAAATTTAGATGAAAGGTGTAAAGTACCAAAAACCATTTATAGATCTTCTGCTTTAACATAAATATCATAACTTTAGAAATCACACAACCAAGCGTAACCTCAAGTTGGTTACGAAAAGACACTAAAAATAAAAATACATCGAATGAGAAGAGTGACTTACCAATTTATTCGAACTTGGATGATTCTCTAAGATAACGATGAGGCTGACTGTCCCTCTTTTGTATGCATGAAGGTTATCTCGAACTATTTAAAACAATTAATTAGGACATTCTTAGATGAAAATCAGAGTTTCAGCTCCAAATTTACAGTGAGATCCTCATTAGGTAAAGGTATGAAAAAGCTCAAAGTCGTATTGAAAAGAGAAACTTGAGAATAAGTTCAAGGATACTCTATTTGAGCACTACTTGAAATTGCCCCACAACCCAAAATTTTCAATAAAAGTTGTGCATGGTCTTTTACTTCGTAGAATATATGGTGAGAAGACAAATGAACTCTGATTCAGATTCCATAACTTACAGTCTGCTTTGGCCTCAATTATGACTGGACTGAACTGTAAAGATTTTCCAACAAAAATAACTTTAAATGAGTTAATTCTCCCTAATAAAATTTTGTGAAAAATCATTACAAAGAACGGGAAGAGTGTGACTGGGAAAAAGCTGATAAAACTTATTGATCAAAATCTAAAAAACTGAAATGTTACAAGTTTCCTCTCGCATTGGCGTGGTTTGTGCAATGCATTCTAAAAGCAAGAGATGAATATTGTGGTATTGATGAAACCATACTCAAGTTAGCGTGCAATGAAAAAGGTTCTACAAATATCCGTGGGGTAGAGATAGTTTTATTTTGACTTTGGAGTATCCTTCCAAAGATATGAAAGCACGTCAAGATCATGATTTCTATAACCTCTATGGCCTTCCTCGGGGATCCATGGTAACTATAATTTCAATTTTAATATTTTTCGTGTCCTTTGAATAATTTACTTTATTGACTTACAACCATCACACCACGTAGGCTTGGGTATATGAAGTGATACCTTATCGAGGCCGAATTTTTACATCAAAGAGGACAATTGGCTCGAGAATGATAAAGTGGATATTTATGAAACCAGCGCAACATGATCCTTTTAAATTCAAAGTAGATCTCGTAAACCTTGTCGTGTTAATGAAATTTGAAACGTCTTGGTTACTGTTTCAAAATTTCTGGGAGATATGTGATAATTTCGAATATAGTTGATATTCTCTTTTTACTCAGGTGGTGCACCCCTTTCTTTTTCCATACAACAGAAAAGAATCGGTCGTCTTACATGCAAAATATTTGTCATTTTGGTGATGAAAAAGACATTTTGATGGAGAGACTAAAAGTAGAGTTGCATGGAGATGCAGTTTTGAGAGACCGTGGTGATGAATTAGATGGTCATTAGGGTGATATGCGTAGTCCAGAAATTGAAAGAGGAGTAGAGCAATAACATCTATTGAAAAAGAAGTTACTGGAAAAAGAGAGTGTTGTGAGTGCCTCTAAAGTTCAATGTCCTCGTATTTGCTTAAAATGTGAAAAACAAGAACAGCAATTGGAGTTGATAAAAAAACTAGATAAAGAAACGAATGAGGATAGGAAAGACAAAGAAGATATGCGGAAGGCAATTAATGAACTGGTTAAGAAGGTAAAAAAGAGGCCAGTGGTTCTTTCCTCAACCATCCAGCCTTCTTACACTGGAAAAAATAGGAAGGTAATTGATCACACAGGTAGGACTGTTTCGTCCTTTGTTCGTCAAGAATCTGGACACTTGACAAGTAAACTAGTATTGAAGATAACTGTAATATTTTTTTATTTATGCATACTATAATATATTAGTATATTTTTTTAAATGACAGTATACTGTTTTAGTATACTATTTTTTCTTATATCATAAACAATATACTTTTTATCTTTATGTAAGTATATACAAGAAAGGTTCAGGTGTAAGAATTCCTATTCATTTATTTGTGTTACATTGATGCATGATTTTTCATAGAGTTTTGCACTCTCCAGCTTCTAATTCGGAATATTGCATATCAACACAAGCAAATCAAATGAGGCTCCAAATGGTGTAAATACTACTTGGGAATGTTTGAAGAATTTGGATGGGTGATGGCATGTATTGTATTTTAGTTTTAAATTCTTATACTTTCTATATTATTTTCCTTGTTGAATTCTTTTTCTAGGGTGAAACAATTGAAATGTGTTCTAGAATCATATCACTTGCCCCCATGGCCTAGCTCAAGTGGCAAAGGGTGGTGGATTTGTCTTAGGTCACAGGTTCAAGCCCTCACACCATGCAAGGCAAAGCCTGGTATTTAAGTGGAGAGGGGTAAGCCCATTATCCACCGAGTTTCGAAGGCTACGGTTAGTCCAAAGGATCGGCCCCAGACGGATTTCTCGATCATAAAAAAAAGAATCATAACACTTAACTAATTCACAAAAGGTGGTAAATTACTGCATAAATTACGGGAGGTTGAGCTTGAGTTATTTTCATTAACATAATAATGATATTGTCTCTTCTATTGCAAAAAATTTAGATTATTAAGAGAAATAGGAAGCATAGTACAATGTATTCTGATAGAAAAGTGACAGCTAAAATACGTACTAGCAAAAATAATTTAATATAACAGAGTGGTTCAGCAATGGGGTAATTTACTCTTTAGATATATGGTGTAAACCACATGGCCATCTCATTAAGCTAGCTTAATTAATGGAGCATTTAGCTCACTGAATACTGATGGAATAGGGGAGACTTCTGAGACTCTAACTGTAACTAGTTAAAATGATTTGCAAGCTTTACAAGTGCAATCATACTGAATTGCTAGATCTGGCATATGGGCTAAAAATTGCTCTTCAATTCAATTTCTATCTATTAGTAATTGAAACTGACTGTAAGGTAGTGCTTGACTTATTGTCAAATGATAAACTTTCATACTTCCACTTTTTGGTCCTTCATATCCCCGCGGAAGAGAATAGGGTTACACATTTGCGAGCCAAACATGGAAAAAAAAATAGCAATATTTGGATGGAAGCAACAAGGAGAAACTTTTTTATATGCCCCTAAAATTTATATGTAATAGTTTATCGGAAGACATTATTGGCATACTAAAACTCGCCGAGCCTTGGCATGTAATAACTCTTAACTATGTCTTTTGGAATGAAGTCATTAGGTTAGCAAAAAAAAGAATGGATGTCTTATGTCCAAGAAATATTACAATTAAAAATGAGAATCTCAATCATTAAGGTGTCTCTTGGCCATTGACTGGGTCCGTCCTTTCTTTTTATGATCGTAGAATATTTTTATTTTTCATTTCCCATATAAACCTTGTGATATTGCATAACTTTGTTTGGGTGTTTTTTATTATTAGTATAGCAGGTTGTTAGATAGTATAAGCATATTCATTAGAAGTTCTACTTGCAAATAACAACTAGTATTTCCATTTAGTTGTCAGTTCCAGTTACAGCAAACATGCAATAATTAAGAAGAAAAATGAAATAAGCAATATGAGAATTTCAAGAAAGAAAACTAACCAATTGAAGAATGTTTGTCATGTTGCTACTGATCAGGCGCACGACCGCACTTTCTTTTCACGAATTCGATCGGAAGCACAACTACGATTCTTCACAAAAGTGAGCCAGTGAGAATTGGAATGGAAAAGAAAGAACTAATAACAATAACAAAATTGAAATGCCGCCTAATTTTTATCATCCCTTTTACTAATGAAACAAAATCTTTTAATCTTTATATTTAAAGTAACTAATTATGACATATATACATTCATTTCTTGTTCATTTTCTACAAGTTACAGTGTTATTTGAACTATGAAAAATGATCTTGTTAATGAAATAAATGATATGTTTATACATTTGTTTTCCAACAATGTTTGTTTGTAACTTGCAATTGATGAAATTATAGAATCAAATGATCAAGGCCAATTCGGAAAAAAAAATTCACACACCTTAAATCATATTGGCTAACCACCTTATAGATTGCCTTTGCTTTTGGTATAAAGACCTATTGGCTAAGTACCTTACAGAATATCTTTAAAAAGAAAATGTTCAATCACATTATTAAGAAAATTTAAGTCCCAGTGAGGTGTTATCTAACGGTTCACAATTAAAAAGAAAATGTTCAATCACATTATTAAGAAAATTTAAGTCCCAGTGAGGTGTTATCTAACGGTTCACAATTAAAAAGAAAATGTTCAATCACATTATAAAGAAAATTTAAGTCCCAGTGAGGTGTTATCTAACGGTTCACAATTAACAAATCATGAATTTTAAGACATATCATATGTGCTACTATTGCCGGCGCTGATTTCAAAAATAAACTTGTATTTATCTTTAAAATACCTTATTAGCATCACAAGAGGAAAGGTACTCATTCCTCTTAAAAGAAAAATTTCCCAATACTATTATGTTTTAGCCATAACCATAAGAACACAAAAGAGCTTCTGAAAACATGCACCTTATATTTGATGGCTGGTGAGGGTATCATATCCACCAAAAAAACCAGAGGCAACATAAAGACAAGAGTTCTTGACATATTCAACGTTTTTCCTATCCATTTCTTTGCAAACATTTAGTATAAAGCCACATCGTACCTGTAGATGAAATATAATTCAGAGATGTGGTTATATGAAAGAGAAAACTCAAATTCATTCTTGAGAATAACTAAAAGAAACCAAATTCTCGGGGTAGGAACAGAGTGTCGCCCAGAGTATGGAAAATACTTTCATTCTTGCAACTTCAATTGCATTTATGATGATACTCATATTTACTTCGTTAAAATGGTAGTCTTTTTCACACCATTTTGTTATTGTTATCACTGCGGAATGGTACACACTCATCTCAAAATACTTTTGTGATTACAATATACAAATGCGTGAACAAAATTTTAACATATTGTATTAAGAGGAAGAATAATACCGAATCTTGTACTCCACACATACTATACGAAAAGCTAAAGCTAAAATTCATTTTTGAGTCATTGTTCATTGCTGCTTCTATGACCAAATTTTGGTATTTATCATGCATGTCTGGTTTTATACTTTATAGCTCTCATATCTCTGCTGCCAAGTTATACATCCTCCAATTAAAGGTGGCAACTAAGATCATTAGTTGTTGTAACATCCTCCGAAATCACTAAAAGAAAACACTTATATTTCGTCTTAAGAGTGGGAATAAACAGATGCATAAAAAATCAAGCACAAACAAACAAAAGTAAATAAACCCATGATAAATTAAGTCAAAAATCGATAAAGGATACACAAAAAATTCAAAATGAATTGAGGAAAATTCCCAAAATAAGAACACATACCTCCGAATAAATGAAAGAGCTTGACAGGAACAAAAGGTGATGCAGTGAGTGAAACTTGTAAGTGAAATTTTGGTCATGCATTGAGGGCCAGATATACTGCCATGGAAGTTCTGAAAATCTGGTTCATGGAAGAGAGAAGAGTAGAAGATAAGTTTTGTTAGGGTAAAGAACATTTTAGTGAGTGGGACAAAATAGGAAAAGCAGTACACGTGCATATAAAGACGCAGTACACATGTTTTTTGGAACACTCTGTGTAGGAATGAGGACCAAATTACCACTTTAACTCTGTAAAAAATCACAATTACGGAAATACAACTCTGGTTGCTTCTTGTACAGCCACATATTGCACATGTTCTCACACACACACACACATTGAGGGCCAGATATACTGCCATGGAAGTTCTGAAAATCTGGTTCATGGAAGAGAGAAGAGTAGAAGATAAGTTTTGTTAGGGTAAAGAACATTTTAGTGAGTGGGACAAAATAGGAAAAGCAGTACACGTGCATATAAAGACGCATGTGTAGGAATGAGGACCAAATTACCACTTCAACTCTGTAAAAAATCACAATTACGGAAATACAACTCTGGTTGCTTCTTGTACAGCCACATATTGCACATGTTCGTCCTTCCAACACACACACACACACACACACACTAGAGGGATGACATTGCGCACGGGACCAACATGTTATTTTTTTTCTTGACAGTAAACACTATGCTTCATATTGAAATCAAAACTAAATAACCATAATCAAAAGACGTTTTAATACAAAATGGGTACAATATTATTCCTTCTTTACGGTATGTGCAAAATTAACATAAGCTCAGTGCCCTTCCGACAACCAATCCAGAGTACCAGTACCAGATACAGTATCTTTTTCACCGCCCTTCTTGTTGCAAGATTGACCCATTATCTGCATTCTGTTGAACTACAAAGTTGCTCAAAGCTGGTTGACCCAACATAAGGTTGATATAATCTAAATTTTGCAGAAAACAATAGGCTCTGCACATCTTAAAGTTATTAAGAACCAACCTGTTCAAATTTCATTTTTGTGCAATGGATGATTTAGTAGTTTACAAACACAAGAACAAACCATAAGAAAAGGGATATACATCACATCTAGCACAATTTGAAACTACCTGCCACCTAAATGTTGATGTAAACTAAAGGTTGGTGTTCAAAAAAGCAATTAGGAGTTCTGTTTTCACAAACTATCATTTACATCTTTTGGATCTAGCTAACTCTTCCGCAAACATCAATGAATCCAGATTTTTCTATAGTCCCTATAAGAAGGTGTGTGTACCAAAATCAAAGAATTCCTAGCTTTACTTTAGAGAAGAAAAAGAACCTTAAGTAAGCTTACATCTTTGAAGAGTATGGGTACTTGGAATCTTGAATGTCAAGTCAAACATGAAGTTGTGAAACTACTTGATTACCTAATGATCTTGAAGTAGATGTCGAGAGTTCCTGGTGACAGATAAAATCAGATAAATGTTAGAATAATTACAAAAGTATTTCATAACAAAAGAATCTCACATTCTTACTTAACCTAATTTAATGTCAATATCTGAACTTCTATACAGATTCTTTCTTTATCATGTTTTCCTTTCTTTTTAAATAATTTCTTCAAAGCAATAGTTACATAATGTTATAGTAAGCTACTTAGCACTACACTAGAACTAATTCTAGCAAAATTTGACATCCACAATTGGGAAACAAAATGAACAACTTTTAAATGCCATTTGGAACTTGGAATTCCTGTAGTGATCTTGAGAATCCATTGAAGAAGTTTTTGTTCAGTATCTTTCTTGAAGATTAGAGTCGTCCATACTGGTATGCTGCCAATTCGGTTTTCATTATGTCAAGGCCAGTGTTATCAAAGGCGCTCTTAAGCCCTGAAGCGAGGCTCAAAACATGTTGAGTGCTTCACCTCACTTAGCAGGCACTTCAACGTTATCATCAAGGCTTTAAGATATATTTTTCTTTACCAATGAGCACAACCCGGAAGAAGCGACATTAAACGATTGATATTTCACTTTATCGTAAATTTCTTCAATTTCTATGTCCATATATTTGGTATTCATGCTTATAGATATTAGTCTTGGACTATACATACAGATTTGTAGTTTTTCTCCATTTGCGCCTTCATTAAAGCCCATGCTTTATTTTCGCTTTACGCTTAAAGCCCCAACAGATCTTAGAGCTTTTTTGCGCTTTTCGCCTTTGATAACACTGGTCAAGGCGGGGCATTTACTAAGGCACCTTATTATCAACTACATCAAAGGAACTTAGTACCTTCAGCTTTATCATTACTTTCCGTAATAACAAATAAAATCATCAAGCACTTGATCTATTGAACTAAACAGAAGAAAGAATATCTTAAGCGTTACCTGCAAGGATTTGTTGATGAATGCCATGAAACAATATCATTTAGCTTGAGATTCTCAGATGTGATCCACGATGAGTTTATCTGTTGGCATTCGGAATGCATGGTGACAGAAACATTACTAAGTGTCATAGTCAAGAGTACTAAAAGACCAATCAGCCTTAAGTTCTTGCATTATAGCCTTCATAGAATTCATTTGGAACTCCAAAGTTATCCCTTCTTTATGGGAACTGAATTGTTTTGAAAATGTCCTTACTAAAATAACTTACACGTAAGCCATAGAAGTAGAAAATTATCCAAATAGACAGTTCTAGAGAAACAATCTGTTCAATAACTAAAACATATGAATAACGTCCACGTTCACTTTAACAAATATAGAATTAAACAAAAAGAAATGACGTCATATTTTTATCAAGAAAAGGAGTTCACAAGATGTTTTGATCAAGAAAGAATGTGAAAAGTGAACCACATGTCTGATTGATTTTCAAGTTAAATCAAATAAGCTAACATGAAGTTAGATATAACTGTAGAGTCAAAAAATTTGGCATTCAACACTTTTTAGCAAATTTTAATATCCATACAAAAGAGAAAGAAGACCAAAAAGCTTTTGTTTTATTACCCTGCAAATGGCAAATATCATCAGCTCACACATAATTCAAAAGATAAGTCTAGTAACTCAAATCAATATTGATTAATATACTTTGTGAACCGACATAACAAGAAGCTTTAGGCTCATACTATGAGCAAAAATCATCACAATGATAAGAAATTACCAATAAATCAGAGAATATGACATCCAAGATTACACAAAATAAATAAGGAATAAGTCTATCTCGAAAATGTAATCGACACAATATAGTAAGAAATGAGCATGTGCATGTACAAAATCAGTTAACAGAAGAGGGGGGGGTGGAGAGAAGGGGGGGGGAATTATATCAGACAATAACTGGTCCATAACAAAAGTTAAAGCAACATCATAGTACCGGTTGTTATGAAATTTGACACCAACTATTCAAAATAGAACATACACTTCAATATGCCCATTAGGAATCGGTAAGAACTCAAAATAATCCAAAAAGAATTAAGGAAAATCTAGAAAAATCTTCAAAATGCACCTTGAAATAAAAATTAATGAAGGGGAAGAAATGGGATTAGGTCTTTAAGGAAATTGAAGAAAAAATAAGCCGATCCGAGTACAGGACAATACCAACACACAACATTTTTTATCCACATATCTCACTAATCTCGGGATACATGCAAAATAAGAACCATATCAAAATATGCATGTCCAGAACCGGATAACCAAACGGGGAAAAATTATATCAATAAATATGCAAGAAGAAGAGATCGAAATAGGAGGAAACAATAACAACATTTTGTTAGGTAAAACAACATGTTTTATTAAAACGACATATGCTTTAGAATCAAAGTTTTACATGCCCAGCGAGTTATGATGGAACAACAGGATAGAAACATAGAGCAAAGACAACAAAGATTATGGTTTACAATGACGATCTACTGACATCATTGTATCCAAAAGAATAGGAACTCGAAAATACCCACCAGATTGTGATTACACCAATAGAAATAATGCAGTACCTTGAAAAATCCAACCAACACTATGAAGTTAGACTAAATCTTGAAGAATCGAATCGAGCAACAGCACAAAAAGCTGGAAGAATATCACCGAGAACTTGTTTGTAATGCTCTTCAAAGTCGCCAGTTAGTAAGAGAGAATAGAGTTTATTAGCTAATCTTTTCCCTAAAATTCCTTATATTTAAGACATTAAAATAGTTCAGATTTAACTAACAATGTCAATCAATAAGTCTTGAAAAAACAAGTTAACAATGAAACATACAACACAATTTTTGTTCTAAGTCTTCCAGTATGGGTAGTCAAAACTACAGTATATTGGATAGGACAACGGAAATTTACCCAAAAAAAAAAAGGAGAAGGGCAAATTATTGTCTGATTTCTCCCCCTTCCCCCAAAAGCTAGATGAAAATTGTTTTTTTTTCTATTACACGAGAGAAATTATTTTGGCAAAACCAAGAAGAAGTATACATTTTCTGCTACAATATTGCCTTTAAATATCTAGAATGAGCATATAATATTTTTCCTTCTATAGATTGACATATTCATTATCTTAACCATTATTGATACATTGAACCTAGTGATCAGATAAACAAAGAAATCAGGTAGGACACACCTATAAACAAAGCAATACTTCCAATCTTATATGATCTAGAAAAAAGGGTCCGGATTTTCCTTATTGAAGCAAAATTCCTAGAAACAGTGCATGTTCATTTAATTGAATAAAAAGAAGAGAGCAAACAAAGAAATACTACACAAACAAACACACACGCAAAAAAAATTATGAATAGAAATTAATGTAAGAATAAACTGAAGATTCATAGTCGACATACAAATCTAAACTACTGTAAGCTGCAGAAGAGCTGAGCAACTATTCTGACTTCTGAGCAATATTTCCCCTGCAATGCTAGCAGTCAAGGTTTCACACTGAAAATAACAACATAAGTTTTGGGCATACAACTTCCAACAATAACATCAAACAAACTATGAGCAAAAAATGGCAAGAAACTCACATACAGTAACTTTCAAATAGTCATTTCATAGTGCTGAGTACAAAGTTCAAAAAACATGATGAGACGACATGAAAAATGACATGCAAACAACGGATATAAATCTTTTTCATAACAATATGGAAATACCTTTAAACTATGTTATCGACACACAAAAAGGCAGACTTTCGTTCAAACCATCTCAATACAGAAGATCCATAAAATTTTCAGAAAGAAAAAGGACCGATAAGAAAAGAAAACAAAAACCTAAAGATGGCTGACCAATTTGGAACAAAGGGAATGCATCAATTTAGCAGAGAGAAGTAGAAGGGACATGAGTCTGACAATAGATCGAAAAGTGTTTGGGGAAGAAGTAGGAGGGACAGTATAAGCGAAAAGGGAATGAGGAAACCAGCTGTCCCCCACAAAGAAGAAAGGAGTAAACACACGTGTTCAAAGTAGAAGGGGAAGAAAATTTAATAAGCCAATTAATTAAGCCCAAATTTGACAGTGCAACTGAATATACTTTTAATACAGCAATAAAATGACGTGTTTGTCCTTTCTAGCCATTTACATTTATATTTATACTAGTGAGGGCTAGCGCATGATATGCATGAGCCCAATAACACTATTATCTAAATATTGGAGTCATAAAAATGTGTATGGTAGAATTAGACCCCATTCATCTTCAAAGGATACTAAAGTTATTTTGGGACATTTGCATTTGTACCCATTTTTTGTGCCACGTTTTAATTTGTGTCCGTTTTGCAAAAAAAATTGCAAACGTACTCGCTTTTTCGCATAACTTAAGCATACGGGATTGAAGTAGCAAAGGCAATCACGCAAAACTTCAGCATTCTAGTAGCCGGGCCTGAAGTTTAACTCTAGAGTTGAAGTTTTTGTTTGTAACTGGCGAACTTCATCTCTAAAGCTGAAGTTTTTATTTTGTAACTGTCAAACTTCAGCTCTAGAGCTGAAGTTTTTGTTTGTAACTGGTTTTTTGTTTGTAAGCTTCAGCTCTAGAGCTGAAGTTTTTGTTTTGTAACTGTCGAACTTTAGTTCTAGAGCTGAAGTTTTTGTTTTGTAACTTTCGAACTTCAGCTCTAGAGCTGAAGTTTTTGTTTGTAATTGGCTTTTTGTTTGTAAGTTTCAGCTCTAGAGCTGAAGTTTTTGTTTTTGTAACTGGAGAACTTCAGCTCTAGAGCTGAAGTTTTTGTTTTGTAACTGTCGAACTTCAGCTCTAGAGCTGAACTTATTTAGAAGCTAACTTTAGAATAGGATCTGCTCAAATAAGCTGGGGATCCATCCATCAAACAACTTGTTAGTTTGTTAAAATCTTTGGGGTAAAATCTCAGCACTAGGCTCAAGAATTTTTATATGGTAACATACTCAATTTAGCTTTACAAGAAACAACTTTCACCTTAATAATATTTATCATAACAACCCAAAAAAAAGAAGTAAATAAATGTAAATTAATTATCCCTGATTGCGAGAACAAATAATGAGCTCTGTAATACGATTAAAATGCAAAGACGTCGTCACTTAACAATAGTATCTTGATAGTATCCACTCACAAAAGTAACTATGGAAAATAATTTCTTTTTTAATCATATAAAGGTACAAAAAAAAGTTTTAACTTCTATGCACCAACAGTTTAAAAGAAATTTTACCTAAAAAATAATCTGCACCAACAGCCGAAGAAGAAAGAAGAAGAAAACGAAGAAGGAGAAGGAGGAGGAGAAAGGGGGCTGAAGTTAATTAAAAAGTGAGTACAAGTTAAAAGTTTTTTAAAAAATGGGTATAGGTTAAATGGGGGCGACCAAATAGGGCGTCCGTACAATTTTTACAGTTATTTAAATCACCTAAAGTCATTAAAAATTGTAATTTTATTGATCTCAATTATACCTTGAAAATAAAATTTAAAAGGAGCCTGTTTTTATGATCATGTTGTGCGAATTAGCCTGAGTAATAAAATTTTCGTACAACTTATAAGCATTACAATCTTCTTTTGTTGCAATGCCACGTTATCTAACACAACTATAATTAGATTCATATTTAATATTACTTCATGTCTAAAATAAATATCGTTTTAATTTTTTTATACTCATAAAAAATCATATAAAACAATAATTAAAAAATTTATTTGATTAAGTTATATTTATATCACAGTCAAATTACTCATTATACTCTGTAGGTAATTTAGTAAACCGAAAATAGAATTGGAAAATATAGCTAATATCGTTTTAATTTCCCGAAGCAACATTTATTTTGGACAAATATATTTAGCTTAATAAAATGACATTTAGGAAAGGGGATATAGCCCATTTAAAACTATTTACAGGTGAAATAAGTAGAAGAAGATGACTTTTGTTTTTTGGTTTCTATTTTACTCAGAAAAATTGTTTACTCAAAGAAAGATTTAATGTTACTTTTATAAGATTATAGATATGCATATACTAAAGTTGGACGATTTTAGCTTCAATTATTGATTATGAAAATTTATACTACTGTTTGATAGGGAAAAACTACTTAAAATTTGAATGATGAGAAGAAATTTACGTTTAAAAAAGAACTTTAAACGTATATTTACAGTTCAACGTATAAAATGGTGAGAAGAGCACATTTGTCCAACTAATTATTTGTACAAATATTAATATACAATTTAATTTAATACAAATCAAATAAAAATACATTTTTTGTGTGAAATTTATGACATTAACAACATATAAAGTAAAGTTATTAGCCCATGGAAATATTTTTGCATAGTTGTAATCTTTTCTTGGAATATTTAGAATATTTTACTCCTACTCACAAGGGAGAAGATAAATCCATTTGCAGAAGCCCGATTCTATAATCTAAAAAGTAAGACGCAAGCGTGTAAAATCGAGCATTAAATGTAGAATGTGAAAAATAAAAAAGATACCATAGTCAATTTATAAAACAAACAGAGAACTAAAATATTAGTAAGTGTGAATTGAAACAACCGAAGAGGGGCTCACTTATAGCCCGTTTGGCCAAGCTGCAAAAATCAGCTTATTTTGAGAAGTGTTTTTTTCAAAAGTGCTTTTCTCAAAAGTACTTTTGATGAGAAACAGTTTGTGTTTGGCTAATTAGCTTGAAAAGCACTTCTGAGCAGCAATTAATGTTTGGCCAAGCTTTAAAAAACTACTTCTAAGTGTATTTTTCTCAAAAGTGCTTCTCAAAAAAGTGCTCTTGGAGAGAAGCTACTTTTTTCTGTTTCTCCAAAACTGCTTATGCTTCTCCTCAAAAGCACTTTTTTTCCTTCTAGAAGCTTGGCCAAACACCTCAAATTGAGGCCAAAAGTGCTTTTGGCCAAAAACAAACACTTTTAACCAAAAATAAGCTTGGCCAAACAGGCTATTAGACGGTAAGTGGCAGTTTTAAAATGCTGCGGTAACAAAGTGGGATGGGAAGTTGAGATGGACCCCACACTTCCTAGAAACTTATCAAGTGTACAAGAAATAAAGGTAGAAAGTACAATACCTTGAAGTATATAAATTATGAAATTTCAAAAATATCCTTATGCCAGACAGACATGTTGACCATGAGTTGCCTGGTTATTCCCACTTATAGTATAGGAATAGATTTATATATAACAGAAACAGAAATATCGTGACACATTGATTGTGAGATAACTAATACTACTGCTCCTATCAAATAGGAAAATCGTTAAATTATTCAATTAGATAATAATAAAAAAATCAAGTTAATTTTTATTAATCTAATATTTTATTGTTTAAATATTTTTGTTTGGCGTACAAAAAACTTTTTGAATTCCCAATAGAAAAGATATTGCTCATGAAAAAGTCTTTATATCTATCCATGGGCGGATTTATAATGTACCATAAGGTTCACGTGAACTCATGGTGTTCGACAAAATTGTGTATATTATGTGTATAATTCATATAATTTGTCTAAATATTACCTTTGTGAACCCATGGTTAGATTTGTTGTGTTGGCTCACTGGTTAAGTATTTGCAATTTTTCTCTAGGGACCAGAGATCAATCCTTATAAAGCTCATTTATTCTTTTTTTTTTCTACTATCAAACTAGTGGTGAACACATCCTCTGAGAATCCTGAGTCCGCCCCTGTATCTATCTATCTATATCATATTTATTATATTATATTATTATTATATTATACTATACTATATTATAAGCGGGAACACCAAATGTCAAACCTGAATTACTAAAATACCCATTAAAAGTTGAAGTACATATTTACCCTTTAATAACACATTGTTCCTATAATATTTCTGTACAAAAAAGTAAATATTTAACAAATACATGTAAAGGAACTTTGATCAGTTACAAGTCTAAGTCGAAATAATCTGAAATTAGGAGCAATTAAAGAGACTACTATTACAATTAATCTCATTATTATGTTGAATAGTAGCAGTTACAAAGCCACATTCATGCTTCCTTCGTCTCTTTTATATGAAAAATGAAGTGTTTATTGTTTTAATGCAAATCCTTTTTCCTTCCGATTCCTATTTTCCTTCTAGGGATGTCAATTTCTACCAACATTCTTCCGGATATATACCAATTGCCAAACGGTAGTCAAGAGACTCACTATCAACTAACTTTTTCCGCCATCAACAAGCTTGGCTTGCAAGTTTTGTTCAGTGAAAAAAAAGGTTATTCGTCTTCTTAATTCTCATGTTAAATCTACCTATGGTCGGATCGTCATATTAGTTTACAAGTTCATGCTAAACACATACCATAAACAAGCAACTTTTAAATTCAGTCATCATTTTTAATGTGAAAGTAAATTTATTACATCTAATTGAATATATAAATCCAATATATGTTAGATATTATATGGTTTTCTCTCTCTAGAATTTTTCCTATTTAATTCATAATTTACAAACGTTTTGTATCTTCGCTTGATACTGGCAAAAAGATTTATTTTAAGTGACACATTGTATTTCTATGTGTATGTGTATTTTTTTCTTTTATCTTTTTGTTTGCTGACTATGTATAAGAAATTCGAGCCAACATATATATGGAGATTAATATAACACGAGTAAGATGAAAGAAATTCGTAAACAAGATGATCCATGTACCAAGGATAAATAATGTATAACACATAATGGATCATGGATCAACTTTATTGGTTCTATAACTTTAATTTGTTCCTTTAATTTTCATTTCATAGCTAAAAAATATTTTAATAATATTTATTTAGTTTTAAAAAGTTTATACACGTAATAATGGGTACACGCGCAACGCGCTTGCCCAAAGACTAGTTATTATAAAAGCACGAATAATTTATGCTAAATGTTGAACAACTAAAATATTCCTGAAACATTGATCGACTTTTATGCCCTTAAATATTTGTATAATTTAAAGATCTAATGGTAAATTACCTAATGATAGAATTCCTTTTCGATTTAAACTATACATATA